GAGGGTTTGTTAAGCCGTCGGAAACTAATGGATAAACAGATCGAGGAATACGTGAATGAATTGCCGGCAATTGACGCCAATATCGCATTGAATGGCAAACTAGAGCTCAATAACAGAGACTGTTATATACAATTGGTCGATACTTTTAATCATAAGTGCTATGCGCTCAGCCAGGTATGTCATTAACTAATTAAACTTAAATTAAAGAATTTTATATTCAATTTTCAAGAATACATACGCTTTGAATAAATTGAAAATATTTGTGAATATTTGCGAACAAATGCGTGACTCGAGTGATGCGGACATTGCTGTCAACCGATTGATACAACACTGCAATAGAAATGCGAAACCAATTGCAAGGATTGTTTGAAATTAAAAATAATAATAAATAAATAATTTCTTTAGCGGAAATTTATAAGATAAAATAAAAACAATAATGTTGTTCAAATAGAATTTAAAAGTTAATATTAAAATACTAATCATCTCAAGATAAAACTCAAAAATTTAATTTTAATATAAAGTTTTTGTTCATAAATATTAGAAATATAATCGAAAATATAATTATAATACAGGTTGCTAGTGTATTGCCGTTTGAATGTATCGGGGAATTTATTGTTATAACTTATATGATCTACAAATTCAATGAAATAAATGATAAAATTAAATTATATACAAAACATTCAATGAATTCACGCATTATAAAAACTATTATTGAATTTAATTTAGTTTGCATAATAGCCCATAGAAATAATCAATTTATCAAATATGCTATATTTATCATTTACTATATGGTTAGTCCCGGTTTAGAAATACTATTCTTTCTTATATTTGATAAATAGTCCACTAAACTATCATCATCCTTTTTTGCTTTATGTTTATATTAGTATTTGGTGTAACATTTATGGTAACCCTGACGTGTGCGCGGGTTAACACAATTGCCTATAAATCTCGTTCAATACTGTATTCATATATTTGCGCCAAAAATACGCGAATTTCGTATAAAAATAGACTGAAATTAATGGCATTTATGGAGCGATTGTCGGCCAAAGACATTGGTTTCTATTGTTATGATATGTTTCTTATGAATAACTATGAGTTCAT